CTTACCATATCGCCGGAAAAGCAAACCCTTACACTCATGGAAATCAGGCTGACTGCTAGGGTCAGCCCGAATCTGCTCAAGGATAGGACTGAGTTTCGGATCCTTGGCAGTATGCTCGACGAGGTCCTCCTTCAAATTCTTACGGAGATGGTAAGAACTCATAAGGCAAGTCATGTACTCAGGGTGGCGAGACAAAGCATCCGCAATGCGATTGTAACAACCTTTCTTATGTTTAAGTTCGAAATCATACACAACAATTTCATGCATCCAACGCGTCAGCGTTGTTGAGGGATTGTTTTGTGTCTGAACCCACTTCAAGGTCTCATGGTTTGAGAACACTTTGAAATGGCGACCCAAGAGATAGTGTTTCCAATACTCTAGCGCCTCTCTCAAGGCATAGAGCTCTCGCATGTACGTGGAGGCAGCTACCTTGTGACTGGGCATGCGTTTGCTGTAGAATTCCAGCGGACGTAAGCCATCTCCATCATCTTGCTGCAACACTCCACCGATCCCATACAAACTGGCATCCGTAGTTAATACGAATGTGAGTTTGGGATCTGCAATGCGGAGCACCGGATGACTCACCAAAGCCTCCTTTAACGCTTAAAAGGCCTTTGTACATTCCTCATCCCAAGTGTAAGACACATTCTTACTCGTTAGTTTGGACAGCGGACGGGCAATGATAGAGAACTTGGGAACAAACTTACGGTAGTATGACGCCAAACCAAGAAAAGAACGCAACTCTCGAACATTCGCCGGTTGAGGCTACTTGCGGATGACCTCAACTTTGGTTGCCTCGGGCTCTAGGCCTGCAGCAGACAACCGATGTCCAAGGTAGATGACGCTGTCCCTCCCAAACTCAGATTTCTCTAAGTTGAGATGGAGCTGCGCATCCTTGAGGATCTGCAACACTTCCTCAAGGTGTCCCATGTGTTCCTCCATCGACTTGCTGAAGATTAGTATGTCATCAAGGTAAACAACAACAAATCGGTTAATCTGATTGCGGAACACTTTGTCCATGAGACTTTGAAAGGTGGCTGGTGCATTCGTGAGACCGAAGGGCATGACGGTGAACTCGTACAGCCCATCGCGAGTTTTGAATGCAGTCTTGTGTTGGTCTGCAGGATCGACTTCAATCTGGTGATAGCCAGACTTGAGATCGATCTTGCTGAAGACTTTGCACCCACCTGCAGCGTCAAGCAGATCATCAATTCTTGGCAAAGGATAGGCATTCTTTCTTGTGATTCGATTCAGTCCGTGGTAGTCAATACACATCCGTAATTTGCCTCCTTTCTTTGGAACAAACAAAACTGGTGCACCAAATTCAGACTCACTAGGTTTAATCCATCCCTTACCAATCATCTCGTCAATCTGCCGTCGCAACTCCTCCAATTCGCCTGAGCCCATTCGATAGACGCAGCCCTTTGGGGGAGTGCTTCCTTCGATCAACTCGATCTTGTGTCGGACCGGACGCACGGGAACCCCATGCGGTTCGGCCAAGACTTCAGGAAACCGGTTGAGAAGGTTATGGATTTCCGATGGGACTTCCGGAGGTGGATCATCACATTCGGGAGCAAGCATATCAGATAGGAACGGTGCAGCCAAAACAACAGGATTAGAAGCGGATTGAGTAGAAGTAGAAGTAGTTGTCTCAGAAATAGAAACAACATGCAAAGTAGAATCATTATGTACAGCAAAAATAGAAGGCACATGAGCAGGTCTAACAAAGGCTATATACATTTGCTCATCACTCTTGCACCTGCGCCACTTTTTGCAGAATTGCATAACATTCAAAAAGGTTACTTGGGATTCGTGCGGCTCGTCCAAGAGGACTGGACGCTCGATCCCCATAGCATCTTTGACCATGAACTGTGAGTCCTTCCACGTGGTTCTTACACATTGCGCTTGCAACCAGCTCAAGCCAATAACCACGTCGAAAGGGCACTGATTAAGGACATAGAAGTTCAGCTCATGCGTGATCGTGCGATCGACGTCAAAGGTAGTGCGCACACCTTTGACTGCATGTGTAGAGGTGACAACCTCTTGGTTGCCTACTTGGGTCCGACAAGGATTCTGCAATGTCACTTGCTTCATACCCAAGCGTGCCTTACGAATGTCGTGCGGTGAAAAGTAGTTGGCGGTTGCGCCACAGTCAGCCGACGCACGGATGTAACGACCATTAATGTGAAGTTTGAAGAAGATCAACTTCGTTCTCCCTTGGGCGCGTTCTTGCTTCATGTGAGCCCAGTGCGTCAACAGAGAATGGAAGTCAATTTCTTCCGACTCCACCCAAGGCTCCTTGTAGAGAATGTGCAATTTCTCAGCCTTGGAATCAGCATCAGATGGGGTTTTAGGAGAGGTTTGTGGAGTAGAATCAGGATCCAATGAAGGACCTGCACTTACATGTRYCGTCTCTCCTTCAGTAGAGTGTGYTGAAGATAYCTCTACCCYCGCTGTTGGTTTCCCTGYTGCAATCTAAAGCAATGCTGGACTGAATGTCCCGGTTTGGTGCAATGCAGGCAAACTCCCTTCTTTACTCTAGACTTCCACTCACTTTCACTGATCCGGAGATCTACCCATGGTTTTGTGGCAGGATCCTCCGGCTTGGGTGGAATCTTAGCTCCTTTGGGAAGAAGGATAGTGTTAGCATTGTTCTTTACCATAGTCCTCGGTCCCTTACTTTTGTAGGCAGTCTTCTTGAAGGCATTCATGGATTCTTCATCATTCACACATTCGGACTCATGGGCTGACGAAGAGCAAGAGGCCTCGCAGCCTTGCTCTTGATCGTCATCAAGGGAAGGATGATCTGCGAAGTTCTCTTCGCCATCCTCTAGCAGATCGTGCGCAGAAAAACGGTTGCTGCCAGGAAACCGTTTGCGGCTGGTAGTCTTTTTGCTACCCAATCCACCCGGGAGGTCTTGTGCCTCCAACTTGACCAGATCCCTCATAAGGGTAAACCAATCAGTGTATGCGGTGAGTTCGAGCCCCAGGCGATCTTTAGTAGTAGAGGGGACCGTGCCTTTTATTACATCCAAGCACGACTGCGCAGTCATTTCCAGATCTGGAGTAGCAAACAATTTACTAACATACTGTTGCCGGGTATGCATGGTGCCAGTCCACCTGCTGAGCTTAAGCTTGTCCAATTTGAGTCTAGCTTTGGCTGCAGCATGCGGATCAGCATATTGTTTGATTAAGAGTTCCTCGAGTGTGGTGACAGGCGTAGCCTTCAGCCATTTGTTCAGGTCTATTCTTTTATAGCCTGATTGGACAGCTTGGGTTTCCAAGAAACCCCTTACGACGGGTTCCACATTGGTCCCTAGGATAGGCGACTGCGTTGCTGGGAGTGTCCCCAACACATCAAAGTAGGATCGCATAGAAACGATACAAGACTCGACGTCATCTTTTCCTTCATACTTAGACGGAATCTGCGCCGCCTTCCTGTCGATATAAGCAAAGCTGCCATTGGGCCCAGCCACTGCCGGGTCCGAACTCGGGACTGCAACAGTTCCAGATTGTCCTGCACTACCACTTGCCGCTGCAACAACAACAGCAGCAGCAACAGCAGGGTCTGGACCTGCAGCAGATCCGGGTTGGCTGTTTGTCACATTCAAAGATGAAGAAGAAGTAGAAGAAGACACAGTTAGAGGGGCTAGAACGGACTGACATGCAGCATTGGAGGCAGGATAGGTGAGGGGAAAGACAGTCTGAGTCTGCTGCAAACTAGCAAACTGTTGCAGCTGGTCTCGGTGCTGCTGCGCCATTTTGGCCATGTCTTCCCGCAACTCCTTGAGTTGTTTAAACACTTGTGCGAGCTGGCCAGTATGGTCCTCAGCAATCCGGACTTCTGCTAAGGCTCTGAGGAGGGGAACCGTTTTCTCTTCTACCTCCTCATTTGTCAAAGCGGATATGGTGTTAATGATGGCCTCATGAGCCTGCACCTTATCCCTTCTATCTCTCTCTTTCTCTTCCTCCTCCTTCTTCAAAGTGTTCTCGTAGAAGAACTGATACTGTGGTTTTTCTGCCTCAGGGGCAGCATCCAACTGCAGTTTCCGTTCGGTTGCAGTTGTCATGATGGAGGACGAGGGTGTCAGTAAAACTTTCAAGAGGGGTCCGTAGTTCCTTTTTCGCCGGACACTCCTCTTCCCTCTCCTCACTCCCTCAAGAGCAACACTCAATAGCTTCTCTCTTCTCTCTCTCTCTCTCTTGTTTGCGATCGTGTAGACGCAGGCATTAACGAACCAAGTGAAAGAAACAGTTTGCAAGATAGTCAGAAGAAGAGGTAGAACTCCTAGCCGGAGCGGCAATTCATTTGGACTGGAGAGTAGTTAACATTCAATCAATAAAAAAATAAAATCAAAGAGATCTGATTCAGCCACATAGTCTGGTTCGGCTACGTATGAGGTCCTCTCAAGCCTAGCCGGACTCGGCTCCGTAGAGATACAGCAAACCAGTATCAAAGTGTGCAACGTAATACAAGAAAGATTTGAGTGGTGTATAAGGTGCGAGTCAGGCGGCGGATTGTGCAATAAAGTATGATAGAACGTCTCAGCGGAGACCCGCTCCGCAGTGAGTGTCCTGGTCCGAAAGCATTGAACCCCGAGTCCCAATCAGATAGAGCAAGATGACTGACGTCAACAGATTTGGCCTGAGGGGCCCTTCTTGTTTGGGCCCGGTCCCGCTGAGTCCCAGATGGTCTCAGTGGAGTCAGGACCGGGTCCCAACCAACAAGAGTTCCACCAAGGTCAAGTGTTTGTCTCTACCAAATTGAAAAACGAAATTTAGCCCCAGAAAGAACCTACAGACTACAACCGTTCAAAACAAAATAGACAAAGCACTGTAGAAAGATATATCATTGCATGCAAGATACTTCAKCCATTCATTCATCAGGTGAGTAAGCAGTCCRCACACTTCACACATGATCAAGACTATGGAGGATGGAAGAAGAACCCRTAGATCCCCRRCRGWCAGTCAATTCCATGCATGCRCACATGGGCACCCTGGTGGCACGGCACTTACCTGAGTGGCCGGGCTCTTGAGATGAAAAGAAATCACCCCCCTCTCACATAGTCCTCCTGACCCAATTAGCACCCTCTACACTAGTGTCCTATCATCTAGGAGGGTCAACCTCTACCCCAAAGTACAAAGCCGGATCCACCATCGATGTGGAAGATCAAGGTAGCAACTTGCAGTCCGTAGGTGTAGATATGGCTGCCACCCTCAAGTTCGCCTCACTTGAGGGGAGCCCTAAAGTCACTCCTCAACTTCCTTGAAGTCCAGATTCCAGTTGTAGGTGCCCATCACTGTCGCCTCTCACAATTGCATCACGAAGTTCCACCTTGTGTCTCGCCACCACATACATGCTCACAAACAACCTGGTCGGGTCTCATGTCGACCCTACACGGCCCTGCCAGGTGGGGGCAGCTTCCCTGTACCACGTCGCCCCACTTAACCCTAACTTCCACCCTAACCCTAAGTGGTTAGACCACTTAGGTTAGGGTTATGGCGGCAAAGTCAACTCTCGCCAAGAAGTAGAATCCGCTCTGATACCAATGTTACGATCCTGGCCAATTTCGAAGTATACAAAGATCAGAAAGTACAATGCCATCCAATTGCAAATAGAAATGAATGAACTTGAGAGAGGAGAGAGAGGGTAAGAAGAAGATGAAGAAGTAAGACAGAGGAGGAKGATGTACTCCAGCATATAACAAAGACAAGGCTCTTCTTCTCCGCCAACCAATCTCTTCCTCCTTATCTCCTCCTCTCTTATTYAAACAWGRATAACAATAATAATGTTGAATGGCATGAACCAGAATCAATGTCCGAATCCCACTTCTACTTCAGGCTCCATATGAAGTCCACCATAGCCATGACCACCTTCCTCTTCCTCTACCCATAGGCCTGTCAATGGCGGAGTGTGGAGGTCTCTCCCTCCTTTGCAACRGACAACCCCAGCAGCTATGCCGCTGCCCACTCTTCCAAGGTCATCACTTGGCAGCTATGAAGCTGCTCACTCAACCGCCATGCCTAAGTCTGCCCTGAGCTTCCTTGATGCGGCACTACCCCAACGGGGCCTTCTAGATGCAGCGCCTAGCAAGGTGATGAAGATGGTGTCTCCCATAGCCAGGTAAGTACCTCGTCACTCTCCTCCCTCAGTCCTTCTCCCTCCTCCTCCTACCGGGCGAGCTCCACCATAACCCTAGGTGGAAGCTCCCGGCTTCTCCTTCCTTKCAGCGCTAAAAGCAGCTAGCGCTGCTCGTCCCAACGCTCCAGCAGCGTGACGCCCAACTCGCACACTGAACAATGAGGCTGGGCTCTTTGCCCGGCCTGAAGATATAACGGCCTRCTTGCCTCTTGGGCGGTGACTTCCAGGCCGCTCGGCCTTCCCAGCAACCAGTACCTCCTCCCATTCGGAGGGAAACATCATTGCAGACTTCTGATATTACCCGTACAGGCTCTAGACTCAGATTGGACGGACTAGTACCGGCCTAGACTTAACCTACCGCTACTGGGCCTCTAAAAATGCCAACTTTGTCTTTTCTGCTCGGACTCCAGTACCCCTCACATCTACCGCTAGGGGGTGCGGTACCGGCCTACCTGCTACTTGAGTGTTTTTCTGMTGCTTCAAGTACCGCGGGCCCCTGGCTCCGCCACTCAAGTGTTTTCCCCTGCTRCAACCCTTCAATGCCACGGCCACAGGTAAGTACTGGCCCTYTGGGCCTACCAACACGTAAGTAGCCTTSCGGGTCTCACACACTCATACCGACAAGCACTCAGTCAGGCATGCAGGTCACAAGCAYGCACACACACACATACCAGTAAACACTCATACAAGCACACAGATTACAAGTGCACACACACACAGACTTAGAAATCCCAGCAGAATGCGGGAATCTCAGCAAGGCATCCATCCCATATGCAGAACTTAGGAAATCMGCAGTATTCTCAGTTTGTATTCTGACGGGTTATTACACTACCCTGCCCTCAAGAGCGAGGTCCCTTCGAGCGAGTAACTCAATCAGAGTCCGTGCATAATGCATCATATGCATAGATAACAAAGAGAGACCGGTTATACTCAGTAGGAGTGAGGGTAGCGGTGAATTTAGGCTGCTGTTCTGCAATAATCAGTCGTTCATATGCGTTGACGACTCGTGGAGCACTCTGCAACAAATCCTTCTTGGCAATCCAGTAAAAGTTGTCCAACGGGTGGTACAGAAAATGAACCTTATACTGTTTGTTTCTTCCTTTCCCACTGTGTTCAACAATCCTATCAATCTCATGCCCGCCATTAATTGCTCGAGGAATCATTGACTCCCGGTAAGGAAATGTTTCYGGCRGTTCATAYGGAAACAGTTTGGACGCATGAAAGACTGGGTACGTGCGTAGATGGGCAGGTACGTCAATCGTGTAAGAAGGACCAAAGGAATCACTTCCTACTTGGTTCAGCACCTTCCACGGACCGTAGTACTGAGGAAGAAGTTTCCGTGATACACCTACTTCTTCAGAAAACTCGGACATTTTCACCCAGACATAGCTTCCTACTTTAAAAGGTACAGGCTGGCGCTTTTTGTTAGCGTGTTTAATCATAGCACTGCGTCGCCTCTCCATTGCTGCGACAACAACTTTGAGCAGGCGATCAAACTTAGCGTTGTAGCCTGGCTGGCCAAGTGTGAGGCCAGGTGGCTGGTCAGGGWACAGATAGGACAGGGGATTGCGAATCTGCCATCCTAGGTGCAGCCGATTAGGTGCCATCCCTGTAGAGGAGTGTATGGAGTTGTTGTACAATCCTTGCACAATCGTCAGTTCCTCATCCCAAGAGTTCTGATCAGGCACAATTAAAGCTCGGAGAAGTTGGATCACAGTCTGGTTGACCTCCTCGGCCAGTCCATTGGCTTCCGGGTGTCGGCCAGACGTCATCTTGAGTGTGATGTCGTAGATCTGGGAGGTGAAGTCCTTCCAATCTGCACTGATGAACCTAGTATCCCCGTCACTCACAAGAGTTTTYGGGGGTCCATATTGCAGAATGTACTTGTTGTGAAACTCTTTGATCACTAGGTCAGTTGGGGCGTGAGGTGGTAATGGAATTAAGTTTAGAAACTTGGAAAAGCGGTCAATGATTACCATTACTTGTGAGTATCCATTCCTGCTCTTCTTTCCCATGTCCGTGAAGTCGATGGAGAGAGACTCACCCGGATTATCAGGAATAGGAAGAGGATGCAGCAACCCATAGGGTTTGTGCCGAGATGGTTTGATGCGTCGACACACTTCACACTCAGCCACAAACTTCCGTGTCATTTCTTTCATCCCAGGCCATACAAACTTTTGCAGCAAACTTCCGTAGGTCTTTCCAAAACCGAAGTGTCCGCCCTGGCCGTGAGCCAAATCCAAGAAGTGAGTAATGGTTGGCTCATGGTTCGGTACACACAGGCGGTCGTACTTACCATATCGCCGGAAAAGCAAACCCTTACACTCATGGAAATCAGGCTGACTGCTAGGGTCAGCCCGAATCTGCTCAAGGATAGGACTGAGTT